GGGGGGGGGGGGGGGTTCTTGTCTTGTTGCCCTGAGCCAACGTGTCATACCACACCATTTACAACTTTGAACTTACTAGTCTTTTCATTTTACTGTAATTTATGTATTGTGACGTGTACCTACACATTGACTCTGGGGAATAGAAGATTTTGGGAATTAATCCTTTGGGTCAATATAGGGTGGTCCACTTGAGTTTTGGACCATCAATGATTCACTCAGTATATAAGTGACTTGTTTCAATTTTTAAATTTTGCATCATCATATTTGATGGCTATCAATGTCGGATCACTGGTGGTCTTGGGTTGCCTTATATGTTTTCCTTCTTCACTAAACTTACTGAGAACTTTAGCTGTGACAAATAAGGAGTGATATTGAATTTGTTCTTATAGTGGTTCTGCTGTACTTTTACAACATGGTTGGGTGCTATTTTATGTTTCTGGTTTCTTTGTTTTTATTATCTCACATATTAGTTGAAAGTTTATCCTGCTGTGTAACTTCCACATCAAGTTGATTGTATGTGTATTCAATTTTTCTTCTTTTTGTTCTCAAAATGTTAACGCCCTTGATATCCTTTTGAATATAATTTTCAGGCCAGGAGGTTGTTACTAGATCCTGCTGTTCATGAAGAGTTTACGCGTTTAAAGGTTTGTTATTCAACTTGATGCTGAATTCTTTTGAATAAAGTTTTGTTGATCTCTCTGTCAGTGTCAGATACAGGGAGGTGAGAAAAATTGATTGTAATAACTAATGTTGCAATAGGAAAAAGGTTAGTCAAAGTTATCTACTCGTGTTTTTTCAACGAGAGATATAGTGAAGAAACATCTTGTTACTGTCTACGAGGAACAGTGTTGTCACATAATAGAAGTTGTATCCCTTGTTCACTGATGTAATAAGAGACTGTTGTATTTTGGCACGAAATGAAATAGAACAGAATTAACACAAGATGAACGAGTATAGTCAAGCTTTGTACTTTAGGGGTGTGATGCAGTCAGTGCCTGAAACCTAGGAGGTAAAGGGGGTTAACTTCTATGGTAGAGAGCAGTTATAAATGTGTAAATGTGGTTTTCACATGGCATATTAGAATAGGCAAATTTCAGGGGTTAACCCAGAGTCAGCTTCCTTCTACGATGTGTTTGGTTCTTGGACATTATATAGATGCTTTAGAGCCCATGCCTTTAGTTGTTTTTTCTTATGACTTGAGATAGTTGTTTTAGTTACATGTTTTTTTTTTCATATTCATCACATGTCCTCATTTTCTAAATATATTAACAATTTCTTTTAGTTGTTATGAGACATTATTTGCATTCATCATTACCCCCTTTTAGTAGTTCTTACAAGATATCTCATCTGATAATAGAATTTAGTCGAGGAGAAGGATAAAAAAGTAAAGGAGTTGCAAGATAACATTGCTGCTGTAAGTTTTACTCCACAAAGCAAGATGGGGAAGATGCTGATGGCTAAATGTAGAACCCTGCAAGAGGAAAATGAGGAGATTGGAAATCAAGCTTCTGAGGGGAAGGTGCTGCGATCTTTGTTTTATGCATCTAATTGTCACTTTTTCCCCATTTGTGTTGTATTACACTTGGTAACAGGATGTATATTAAACTTGCATTCATTGCCCTACTACAAAGATATTCATTGTAACTGAATTGATGCTTTTATTGTCTTCCCCCCGGACCCTTTTTTTCCTCTTGGCGCAGATGCATGAATTAGGGTTGAAACTTGCATTGCAGAAGTCCCAGAATGCACAACTTAGAAGTCAATTTGAAGGTTTGTTGTTTAACTTGAAATTGAATGGAATTCATTCAATGTTGTTCTAGCTTGTTAGAAAATCTGAGATATCCGATAATATCTTTTCTATATCTTTATAATGTGTTTGGATGAAAAATTTTACAAATTCTTGGTATTTGAATTACTTTGATTTCAATTTCTATCATTCTTAAATTATTTTGTTTGGATAAGTCAATTCAAATTTCTCAAATTTTAAATTGTTAGGTTGGATATGATAATTTGATTCCACCATGATAAAATTGATTTAAAAAACATATTTATATGTTGATATTTTTAAATTAAATTTTATAAAAATAAATATTAGCTAATTTTTAAATATTTAATAATTTTAAAAATTAATATTAGATAATATTTTATAATTTTAAATATATTTTTGAATATTCAATAATTAAAAACATGAAGAGATAAGAGATAAGATAAAATATATAAGTGAAATAAGAAGGAAAAAAATATGAGGAATATCAAATTCTTACTCCTTTTGGGAGAATTTGAAATTCTACTATTTTAAGGAATTTCACAAATGCTTAAATTTCAAATTTCTTATAAATTCTTCATCCAAACAAGGTATTTCACCTCAAAGAATTTGAAATTCTTCAAATAAATGAATTACTCGATTTAAATTTCCTATCCAAAAACACTATTAGACTATTTTAGAGTATCCTAGATGATCTTTTGGGAAATGTTTTTATTTTCTACTTTATTATTTGTATCTTTATTTGATTGGGATCTTTGTAATTATAGGTCTATTGTATCTTGTAAGTAGGGATATTATCTGCTGTATTTATTTGTAATTGCTGCATCAAGTCTCTATAAAATAGACTCTGTTCACGGTTTCAGCATTTCTTTCAAAATGGCTCTTTAATCCTTTGTCTTACAGAAGCTACCAAGTAACTGCTGTCTCATCTTTCTTGTCGATTCATACAAGTGCATCTATAATTGTGTTAATTTTTATTACAAACTGATATAGTGCATATAATATTGTTTGTGTTACTATAATATTAATCATTTGAAAGTATGTAGTATGCTAGAAATATTGTTATAAATGTGCTCTGATCTTGGGATATTTTTAACATTTTATGTTTGTTGGGAGTAGGGATATTTGTTGCTTTATGTTGTTTACTTGTTTATAAAATCGGAGACTTACAGATTAAAAGTTGTCTACCTGTAGATTTATCTTGATCTATAGACCTATATACACTTACAATTTATGTAAACATTAGTCGTTGACATTGTCTACAGGGTTGAAGAAGCACATGGAAGGACTGACAAATGATGTGGAAAGATCCAATGAAATGGTTTTCACTTCTTTCTCCTTTTCTATTTTTTTTTGTTATTTAGAAGTTTCAAAGCATGCTGTGTTATAAAAATGCCTCATTGGTTCCTGAGAAACAATGTGAACAAATGGTGAATTTTGTTGTTTGTGGATCCGGCAATTAGGGTGAAAACATTCAAGGAACTCAAATTTAGTGTCGGAAAAAAAGCTGATGCAATTAAATAAACTCTTGTATATATTTTAAAAAAAAATCTACAAGTTTTAGTAACTGACAATATAATTCCCTCAAATGCAGAAAATTTTGAATATGAAAGTTTGAGAGGATGATTTTAATCAGTATGTAAACAAAAAAAAGATAAATTAACATTTGTCAAAACAAAATTATGCCATGTAGGTCCTTTGATAGAAAATAGAGTTGATGTTTTGAAATGGAAGCTTTTTTGTATTCTTGGGATCTGTTTATATCCCATTCAGGAAAATGTATTCCATGGCCGTTATTATTTTGGTTACGTACCAATTTAGTACTGTCAGTATCTGTACGTGTAATTTATTTATATTTTTCAGCTCAGACTAACATTTCAATTATTATTTTTTTTGTATTGTTCATGGATAATTTTACCGACATTTTTTTTAGGAAATTGAGTGGCTTACATTTGACAAATATTAACACATGATATACATTTATGAATCTTGCGGTGACGTTAGTCTCTGATACCTGCGTATCAACTTCCCATTTCCTGAAACTTATCTTGTCCCAAAGAGCTTGGTCGGTAGCGGGATTCTTGCGTTAAAATTTTGGCATTAATTATCCGAACTATTTATATTAAATTTTTTAACCAAGAATAGTCAGTACGGTATTCTTTGCATAGAAACGCAAATTAATATAACCCAACTTAAAATTTATTTTATTTGATTTCAGGTTCTTATGTTACAAGATAAATTAGAAGACAAGAATCGGGAGATCCATAGACTAAAACATGAGATTCAACAGAAAAACTTGGAAGATGGAAGGGCAGATGCTGCATTCAACAGAAATGACGATAATGAGACTATAGACGGGGAGGCTGCAAACTAGTTTGAGATTAAAATTTTTGTAGGGAACAATTTGTTCATTTTTTTTTCTCTTTTTATAGTCCCTTTTATTGTTGTATATTATAACAATTTAATATTTTTTTGCGAAACTGTGAATGTTGTTGGAGGAATGATTATGCTTCTGCTCTGAATGGAAATATAGTCCTCTTAGTCGCAGATGGTGCTATTTTCTTTTATACTTTATCCATGGCATTAACAACCGGTCACAAGGGAGTTAGGAAAAAAAAAATCAAAACGTAAGCTTTCTAAAATCTAAATTGACGATATACAACAGTGTCGTAGAATGGATTGGCATGATAGCCAGTTCAACGAGTCCATCCCAATCCCGCAGTGCCAACGTTTCCAACTGGTTGAATAGGTTCTACCAAGCCCTTGGTAGAACTCCCAAGCCCTTCCCCCTGCACAACGATACAAAACGGTTATAACTATATTTCCTATAATATTAAATGTCCATAAAACTAGAATGTTGTGAGGTCTGAAGAGAAACGATGCTAAAAGTACATGTAATTATTCTATGAATTTAGTTTTAGTTATATAATAATGCATTAACAATATAATTTTTCTTTTTACATCATTTTTTTTTATCCATAACAATTACAATGACAATTCTCAGATTTGATCTTTTTACTCTAACTACCACCATGTCAACTCCAATACTTCCCTTTTTACATCATCTAATTAAAGAGTTTGAATCACCAATCAGAAATTATCACTGCAATGGTTATTAAGATAGTTATTATAATAGTGAATAATATTATTTTGCATAATTGAATGGAAATGTAAAATTCCTTCATACAGTTAATACGTACATTATTTACTCTAAACTTATGGCAGTGGTGTAGTTTTCAAGGAGAAATTATACTAAAAATTCTTAAGAATTTTAAGTAAAGTAAAAAAGCAATATTTTGATAAGAACTAAGAAGATACCTCCTTCCAACCCATGCTTTTTAGAAGTTTTCTGGCATAACTACCTGCTCCAAATGACATCTCCAAGGCCTCTGATGCGGCTTCTTGTGGACAACCAGCAACAGGTGAAGATGGCCCATTATCAATGTCTGGAACATTCTTCTGTCCTGGACCCATGCCGAAGCCACCATGCAATATTCTTCTTTCAGCTGCCCTATCTCTGTATTGATATTTTATTTGCTGCCAAGCAAACAGAATATGAGTTGAAGGCTAACAGATTCTGGAGATATCCTTATATGTAGTCTCAATTATTCTATAAAAAGGGTGACCATGGGAGAAGATAAATTCAAGCTTAGAACCCTTTCTCCATGTTGTTGTAATCTCTCTTCCCTCTTTGAACCTTCAGCTTCCCTTACCCACAACTCTTATAGAAGTAATCACTTTCCACGCAGTTATGACTTATGATTAAGGAAAATTTTACGAGCCTTAACAGTCATTTTGTTATATGCCTACTACTCCTATCATGCTATGTGCTTTCTCAAGGAGGTTGAACAGCCATTTATTATAAAAGAAGAAAATGAGCTACTTATTTGATTTCTAAATCAGACCACACACCTTAGAGGCAGAGAGCTGACTAGGCAACGCAGACAAATCTTCCTCCATAGGGATTTCATCTGAAGCTGAAGCAGAGCTTTCACCAGATTTGGAGAGCTGAGTGATTTTTTTACTTGATGATAACCGGGGAAAATCCCAATGCTGTGTTGGATTGGAAGAATCATAAGTTGATAATGAAGCCACATATTTTGCACTAGGATTTCGCAATCTGTACACTTGTCCTGATAAAAGAACATGACAAGAAGCCATATTTAGTCCAGGAAGTACTTCTAGCACTACTATTTTACTGAATCCCAATGCCGCTTCATCTTAAAACCTACTTATCCATGATGTTAAAACTTAAACAGACTCTATAGAAAAGATAAACAAACATGATTTTTTTAAAATTACATATGATTACATCTCTCTGGTGTCACTTCAAAATAGTTACACTCCATGAAATGGAGAAAGATACTTACTAACAAATACAAGAGTAAAATGCAAACCTGTTTTAACTCGTACCAGATCCAGATGTGCTTCACAGATGGGAGCAGATCTTAATTTCCCTCCACCAGAAGGGATAGATGGATGTTGTTTTGCAGATGGTTTCACCAGTCTTCCAACCAACCTTGCCACCTTATCTTTTCCATCTCTTTTGGATCCAGTAACCATTTCCCAGTCCCACAAGTCCAAAATTGGAACCTCTGAAACCAGATCTTTCCCTGATTCGGTAACTTGACCATATTGAGCTCGCCACTTCTCTTCATCAAGCAAGATACCTGTAACGGTAGTCATCAAATATATGAACAAAAGTAGGATGCAATTTCACACATGGTATGGAAGCTATACTATAACGTCCATGCACAAAAAGAAAAAGGCTAAAACCCTAATTTGGTCCCTTATAATATTAAAAAATTTCAATTTGATCTCACTTTAATTTTTTGTTTCAATTTAGTCTCAATTAATTTTAAAATACTTCAATGTGGGATTTCCATCCAAATTTCACAAATGGTGTTAAAGATCCGTGAGAATCACGACCGTGATTCTCACGCCTGGTGTTAAATCTTGGTGGGAGAGGAATTTCTTCGTTGTTCTTCGTTCTCCGATCACCACCGACGTCAGAAACTGTCGCACGCTCACCTCCAATCCTCCACCTTGTCGTACACCGCTCCCTCTGCCCAGTTATCATCGCTCTTCATCAACCACAACACCTTCATCGGTGAAACCACCGCCGCCATGCCATCCTTCCTCACCGCGATGTCGTCTGCACCTCCACCTTGTCGTCGCCTCTGTGTACATCAGAGATCGAGAGAAGATCGACGTGGATCCGTCGACAGATACCTTCCAAATGAAGTTTCCGCCGGAGTTCGTCACAAAGGCATTGCTGCGGTGGTCCACAGCAACGTCGTTCGCCACGTCGACATCTTCGGAGGGGAGTGGGGAGAGGAAGAGGCGGCGGCGGGAGCAGAGGTGGTGACTGGAGAACAAAGAACGAAGAAAGCCCTCTCCCACCAAGATTTAACACCAAGCGTGAGAATCACGGTTGTGATTTGGAATCACGGGCGTGATTCTCACGGACCTTTAACACCGTTTGTGAAATTTGGACGGAAGTCTCACATTTGAGTATTTTAAAATAAATTAGGACTAAATTGAAACAAAAAATTAACGTGAGACCAAATTAAAATTTTTTAATATTATAAAGGACCAAATTAGGGCTTTAGCCAAAGAAAAACATTTGACGGGAAACTTAAACAAACTAGTAGCAGAACTAAAACAGACACGGAAACAAGCCCATATTAGATTATTTAGACTTTTAAGGAAACACCACACTGATTCCTGCACTACACCTAAGGTGTGCATCATAATGATATTTCTACAAAAATACAAATTTTATTTCAAAGTGTATAGAGTATAGACTGAAATAGTTATTTACAGACACAAGGCTCTCCAATTAATACAATAAATATTGTTGCTTTTCAAATGATTATACATGAGGTAGACAAGCATGCAAATCAATGGTAATACCTTCATCTATGGTACTGGTACTTCTATCAGCTATGCCATATTCGTCTTCCATGTCTGGAACCCACTCACCTTCTTCCAGTTCATCAGTGTTGCTGTAAGCCATACCTTCATCTACAGTACTTTTATTATCAGCTAAGCCATTTTCATCCACTGGGTCTGGCATCCACGCACCTTCCACTTCATAAGTTTTGCTATAAACTATACATTCATGAAACAATAAATTCATTTATGAGCTGTGTTAATTCTCACATCGAAATCAAAATCTATAGTTTTGTACAAACCATCAGCTGCTAACGAGTTATATCTATCATCCACTTCCAATGGCACTGTCACTGCATCAGCTTCACCAACAGCTGTGTTCTTGTACCCAGATAAGTAAAGGTCAATAAGTGTGTCCTCTAACCTGTTAATTAGCAAAATGACTAATTTATATGGGAAACGTTTGAAGGTAAAAATCGTCAATGGAATAAGGATGTGTAAGGTGGATACCATTCTGATGGTGGTGGGGGAGGGTTTTCGCAAGTTGGACTACTCACGGAATTTGTGGCATCTATTACAAAGACAGCTACTTAGATAACTGACGTTACTCATATTAACAACTGCTGCATGTCTGAAACACCAAAATGTTGATGCTCGAAGTGTAGTGGAAAAGCAAATAGTCTATTACATTAATACAAACAAAGTGCAAATATCGGGGACATGACAAGGTGGCACTTAGCAGCAACCCCCCTGTCCCTGGCTACTGCAGACCCTGTTTCCCATCATCAATTCATCACAATATTGTACAATATTGTTGAGAGGAATATTTTCGATAGTATGATTATGGGACTTAACGCAAATACAGAAATACAGTTGGCAGGTTAATATTACTTACCCGCAGCTGCTTCATCAGCCAGGGTTCCTGTCTGTTGGTTAGCTTCAAATTTACTTTCAAGGAAGGAAGGACAACCCTCATTGTTGTTACCATCATATATTTGTGGAGGATTTTCTGTTGTAGTTTCCTTGCACACATATGATTCTACAGTACTATCATCCTGATATAACATATAATAAAATTTCCAACATAAAATGATAGTGATTTAAGAGTTTAGCTCAGAAAAAATCAACGCTGTAGATTAATTAGAAGTCCAAACCTACCTTATTGGAATCTAAAAGTACATAATTCCCATCCTCAAATTTGTAATAAGCACTATCTCTGCTGCTATAGTACCAGCCAGCATTAGGGTCGTGGTAAAATCCACTACTGCACAAAGTTCAATACATTTGCCCCCAACCAATGAAGAGAGGAAAAAGTTAACTACTACACATTTTTACAAAAAAATAATAATAATAATAATAATAACAGAAGCAGCTTGTTACATTCATGATTTACATGCAATCTACAGACTATCACATGCGAACCAAAGGGAAGTATCCGTTTGATTGGAGGGTGTGGAATCAAATAAGCCATTCGCATGTTGGTTAAGGGACCGGTTTGGGTAAACTTTTCTAGAAATACTTTTAGAAAGAAAAAATAAAATAAGTTTTTCTATAAGCTAAAATTAGCTTAAACATGAACTAATTAGTAAAACTCTCTTCTATTAACTTTCCCAAAATCTTATTTTAGTTTATGCGTAAGTTAGTTTTAATTTATAAAGAAATTTATTTCAATTTTTCTTCTTATTTTTTCTCTTATAAGTGCTTTTGGAAAAGAAAAAGCTCATTCCCAATCCCATTTATTTTCATCCAAAAGAACCAGAAATCATTTTCCATCATATTTTCTTTTGATCAATTCTAACACACCATACACAAGAATGAAGGAATGTAGAGTAATCATTCCATGCACAACCATACTCATGTCAAACAGAAGGGAAAGATGTGAACATTCCATCCCCATTCTATCTACATCAATCCATACGGTACGGAAACAAAATAGGAAAAAAAAAACGCTTATTTCAATAACATGATAGGTCATTGAATTTCAGGATGTGAATTGCTAGAAATTAAATCGAATGAATAAATAAAGATGGCTTCGTGAAGTACACGCTGAATCAATAATTAAAATTAAACCACCGTTGAGTTAAGGATTAAGAACAAAAAGAATAGTGATTCATTCACTTATCCATGAAATTGCATGTTGTTGGAAATAGGGGGGAAATGGAAACCTGGCGTGATAATATAGTTGCGATTTCTCATCCCAAAGAAAGGTAGAATCAGTATTTTGATGATGTTGGGAATCTGAGTCCATAGGTTCTACACTTCAATTCAATTGCTGAATCTCTCTCTCTCTCCCTCTCTTGTTTTGAAGCAAATTAAATTGTATTTTTCACACTGTTGAATACAGACACCCACACGAGACGAGCTCCATCATCCTTCTCGGCCCAGCCCAATACTTTCCTTTTTCAAATTCCCAAGGTTGCGTTTGGAATATTTTAAAAATTTTAAAATTTAAATTATTTTAATTTTATTTATTTATTAAATATTATACTTAAATAAATTAATTAAAATTTTTAAATTTTGATTTGGTTTAGATAATTTAATTTTTAATATTTATAAAATTGATTTTTAAAATATATGTATATATATTTTGAAATTTTAATATTAAATTTTACAAAAATAAACTTAAACAATTTTAAATATTTAATAATTTATAAATTATGAATACATTTTTATGTTAATATTGATAAGAGAAGAAAAATAAGAAAAAGAAGACAGGAAAAAAATAGCAGGTTATGTGAGAAAAAAGAAGGGAGGGAGAAAAAAGAGAGAAAGAATAAAAGAAATAGCATAGAGAGGGGAAAGAATATATAGAGAGAGAGAAAGTAGCGAGAGAGAGAGAGAGAGAGAGAAAGAGAGGACAAGGAAGAAAAGGGAGGGAGGAAGAGAAAGAAGAAACAAGGGAAGGGGGAGAGAGAAAAAAGAATGGAGAGATGCAAGAGAATGTGAAGAGAGATCAAAGAAAAAAGAGAGATGTAGAAATTCATGGAGGAGTTTGGCACCGTGGTTCATCTTTACATCTTATGTTGAAACTTCCACCATTTTCTTCTGTCTTTTGCAATCTGAAAAGGCACAAAGATTTCTTGTATTGTTTTGACTTGGTTTGAAATTTGAAGAGGAATTCAATTGTGCAAGAGGGGGAAAATAGTTAGTAAAATAAAGTGAAGTCACTTTTTTACATTAAGAGGTGAGAAAAAATATACAAAAGAATAAAATATTGGGTTCATCCGGTAAAGTGAAAAGATATATGTGAAAAATAGAGTGGAAGAAAATAAAAAAAAATAGTGCAATATGTAACTGAAAATAATAATAAATAAAGTATAAATTTAATTGTTTGATTTAAGAGAAATATAGAAGAAAAAATATATAAAAATAGTTAATTAAATATGATTTAGTTAAATGAATATAATATTAAGCTTTTATTGAACAAATCCAACAAAGAGACAAAGAAAGTAAACAACTGTCTATAAATAGACACGTTAACCTAGTCATGTCTATGCATCTTTCTAATAAAGAAAAATAGAAAAAGATTCTTTGGGATTTTTATAAAATATACAAAACCCTAATCCAGTACACTTGTGGCTAGCACCAAAACCTCACTTCTATGTTGCTCATGTGGACTAAGTAAAGGTACCATAATCTTTGGTGCTTAGTGATAAGGAGGAAGGTGTTCATCCTTTTAATCAACAATGAGGATTCTCCAAGAATGACATAAAGCACATTTAAAGAGTAAAATCTCAAAATGCATAGTATGGTTCTTGGTGATGTGCGATTCATGGGAAGGGGTTATTTAGCGCATGAATTTTTTTTATTATATTTTTTTTGAAAGCTATCCATGAAACTCCAACAGTAATAACCATGAATACAAATAGGTTGTGTCAATCAAAATTTTCTACTACTATTATTGTAGCTAAAATTCTTTTATAGGGGTAAAAGAAGACATTGTTGTTTTATTCCCTCACACATGATATTATAAATCACGCTTATCCGACTAATGAAGTCCATTTTTGTTATTTCTATCTTTGCAACATCCCCATTCAGGATCTCCAAATCTCTATCGTGGGGCACTCCATCACTAATGTGCTCCTCGTAAGTGTTCATCCAGTGTAGGAGTTTTAAAGACATCAACTTCTGATATAATAGTGGCCTTAGGTTTCTAGATCTTTGGAAGACTATTCAAGATCTTGAGATTATTCTAAGCTTAGAGAACTTAATTCCCAAGATTTTAGCCCATTGGGAATAGTTTGAAATCTTCCAAACATCTCATCAATGGTTCATTCTCCTTCACAATTAGCAACGTTCAATGTCTCTGAAGAATAGCAACTTGTTTGAGCCTAACATCTTTAGTGCCATTAGTTACCCTAATGGCTTCCAACATTTCTTTAGCACCTTTGCAGCTGCAAAACTTGTTTTATTCCATTATTGACAAAAAGCAAGTCAAGATGTATCTTGCTTTTGTATTGAGTTGCAGGGTGTTATAGTCATCTTGTGTGTACTCATTTTTCTGCCTTGGTTAATACAACATCACCACTGGTGATGATCTTCTAGAGATGATACTAGGTGAACTTGATGAACATTTTTATTTTGTCCTTCGAATATGGGTAGCCTTCTTCATTAAAGGTCGGTGGCCTTATAATAGAAGTCCCTTCAGGCAAGTATTGACCTTCATTACTTCCTAACTTAAGATCTTTTTCCTTTTTATTGTTAGATGCTCAACCTCGTTAAAGGCTGAATTTTGATACCAAAACGTGGAGAAAAGAAAGATACTAGAAGGGGGCTAAATAGTGTTAATAAAAAAAACTCAACTTTTTTGAAATAGTGAAGTAGTTACAAACCTAACGAATGTAGACGAAGAGTTAAGATAAAAGAACATACAATGTTTTATACTGGTTTGTCTCAACCACCGAGACTATCTCCAATTCTTAATCATTTTGATCAAGTTCTACTATCTTTTACAAAGATACAAGTATTATTTTTGCAAGCCATTTCTGATTCAACCTAAGTGTTCTTTGATTTGCCTCTTCAAGCAACTATCCAAGTATTTTTTGAAGAAAAAGTTTTTGTAGGCCTCAATGATAAAGTATTCTTTCATAATTAATCATTTTCAGGCTCAAAGCAATAACACAAAGTTAAAATTGATAAATTACTTTGTGTTTTCATCTTATTAGCAAGACATGATACAACCAGATTAAGCACAAAGCTTTTACAGAAAGGATGAGTATAAATTTTTTATAATCGATGATCACTCTCTTTTTGAATCTTCAAGTTTCTTTTTATGTGTATTTCATGAAGATGACCATTGTAAATTATTGAGCGTCTCACGAACTTACTTTGTTTGTCTTCATCTTCGTTCCTTGTAGAGAGAAGTACACATTGGTGCATTAAATGTGAGCATTAAATACGGTTCACTAAATTGTTACTTCTTATCTGATTAAGGAAACTACTTATTACCTTTAAGGTATTAAACAACATGAATTATTACATTTGTTAATTAAAAATGACTTTTTTTTTTAAACTTTGTTTGCTTCAAAAGATTTGGTCGTCCTTTTTCTGATGCAAAGCATGTTTGTATTCCTTTTTGTAATGTGAGTACCAAATAAGCTTTTTATTCCTTTCGGTCTGTTAAGAAATAACATACACAAAATATGATTTTGGTTATCAAACATCATAAATGATATATATTAAAAAACATTCCCTTACAAACAAAATAGTTCGTCTAAGAGACTTAATGTCAATATAATCAATTATTTTTTATCACAATTCGTCTTATAATATAACTTGAAAAACAAAATCTCTTGGAAAAACATCTATGTTTATTATCATTAAAATTATATTTTAAGGAATTCATAATTACCTTTTGATCTAACAAACATGAATAATAATTAAGAACTAAAATACAAAAATATCAAAAATATCTCATTATAATTATTTTAATTGAAGAACTAATTAAATATTTTAAAAAATTCCTAAGCTTATATTAAATACAATATATATTTTTTGACATAAATTAAAAAAAATACATAGTTATTACTATATCCAAATTAGTATTAACTTATTGTGCAAATTACAATATATATTTTAATTATTTAAGATGTGAAAGATTTATTTATTTCATGAATAAATTTTGGTAGAGTTACTCCATTCGATAACTCATAATTTACATTGAAACTCAACAATTTAATAGTTAAATTAAAAGTTTTTAGTAAATAGATCAAATCACCTATAAGTTTTTTAAATTTTTTTAAAATATTTAATATTTCGTTACATTAATTTAAATTAATAATTATTCACAAAAATGTATCATATGTTAATTTGAATTTAAATATTGAATAGTTTTCAAATTTTGCAAAATTGATTAATTTATTAAGAATATTTAATTTAATAATTAAATCATTAAAATTTAACATAAATTATGAATTATTAAATAAAATAACTCCACCAAAACTTAAATTTATTCTTAAAATAAATAAATCTTGTTAATTTAAAATATATTGTATTCATACTCTCATGATCTCTGGAATAATGTGTTAATGGTGATAAATGATGATCTCAGGTAATTTCAACAATTTATTATTATTATTATTTTCTTTCGCTACATCGATACTTTTACAACAATGTTTTTAATATTTTCACTTATTCAAAATTGCACTACTTTATACCTCTCTATAAAAATGCCAATGTAAATGTTAAAAAAATTAAAGCTTGATTACAATCTCAAAAGACCAATTTGATTAATGACTAAAAGGAAATTAATAGTGAACTACAAAAAAAATTGAATAAATCGATAAATAAAAAGGAAGCAGCTGGATTCACGGACGAGCACTTCACATGTGAAAAAGACAAATGAAACAATAAAAAATAACAAAGGAAAAATGTTAAATAAATAAAAAAAAGAACTTGTTGGTAAAGAAGAAAAAAGAAAAATATAAAATAAAAGAGTGAGAAAACAAGCTCGTGGAAACATCTAGAATAGCGACGAGAGTTCTGGTTTTGAAAAGCAAGCATTAGTTAACATTAAACTTTTGTAACAAAAAGAAAAAAAGTAAACATTAAACAACTAATATATATTACTGCAACTGCAAGAGCTTAGTGGGACCCACACTTTACAATTTTCTTTCTGGTTGTACATTCCTCCTTCCAGAACCATCTCTAACATTTCATTTCAACCTACTTACTACTTACTATTCTATTTTTTAAACAACTAAAAGACGAGTATTATTATAGTTATTGAAAATTGTGGAGCATTTTTTTAACTTATGTTATTATATCCAACATTCACTAGTTTTTTTAACTAATTTTTATTAAAAAAATTTGATTGATTATTTTATATTAAATTCTCTTTCAGTTATTTTTCTTTAAATGTAAAAATCAAATTTAAAATAGATCAAATTTAATATTATTTAAATTAATAATTTATTAATATATATATATAGAAAAATTTAAATAATATTGGTGTAACTTTTACTAATTATTATATCACTCAACAACTTTATATTAAATATAAATTTTATAAATTGAACCATTAAATTAAAAAAATTTTACTCTTAAATTATATATATAATTTTTTATATTAATCTAAAATAATTTGATACTTTATTTTTTTAAAATAAAATTCATGTATTATATATTATTATTATTATTTTCATATAATATTTACGAAGTCGAAAAATCTGTACTTCTTCCTATTCTCAATATTTCTATATATATACCAAATGAAGAATTAGTATATTTTGAGTGGATATTTTAAAATGATTAATATATTTTTAAAATTAAAAGTTAATTTTTAGTAGATAATATTTTAATTAATTTAATTTTTTGAATTTAATCTCTAAGATCAAATCTCATTATATTTTATGTTTTAATTTGATCATTTAAAAATAATTTTTACTTTATTCTCTTGGCTTGATTGGTTCTAGAAAATTGTACGAAACAATTATTCATCAAGTATTTTAAGTATTTTTAAAATATGTACCTCTTTACACTTTTTTTTTTTTTTTTTTATCATTTTTCACTAATAAAATTTCTTAGTTCCTGTACTAGTAAGACTGTTCGGCCTCCACGTGGCTGATACCTGAACCAGGAACCCGACTGCTGATCGGCCACCTAATGACCTATAGGTGCAGATCCCTCCTAATCAAGAATTAAGGATTATCCCTAATCAAGGGTTAAGAGTTAATCGCACCAATAAGCCGATTAGAGCCGTATTACCTAAAATGGTAGTCCTGTTGCAGGGTCCATGGGAGTCTGGGCCCATCAGTGTCAGTATAAATAGCTCATGTCACGAAATAACGTCACTGTTCATTAATTATTATCGATATCTGCACTTGTCTTGACTCGAGCGTCGGAGTGTCTTTTACAGGTACCTCTCCCTCACCGAAATATTCGATCGGAACTCTCGTTCAACCCTTAAAATACGAGAAGATTACTAATGTACTCTTGAGACAGGTACAGTTCCATTATCACAATTATTTTTGAAAAGAAATTATGTTTGGAAGGTTCACATATCATGCGAAATATTCGTTAGAAATAACATTATTACATGTACCAAGTTATTTATATTTATAATTATGCCAGTTATTTTTTTTTATGACAGATGATTGAAGATGAACAATAATGTATACTAATGATTCAACCTCCGAATCGTTAATCCAAATTTTTATCCGAACAATTAAAATAATAATATTTTTAAATAAATTTATTATAAAATAATTATTTTATAAAAAAAATTATTTAAAAAAATTATTATTTTAATTCTTCGGAGGATGAATCAGAAAAAAATTCGGAGTGTGTATCCATACTCATAACAATATTATCTCCTGTGAACATTCGTGAACCAAAAAGAAAATTTCTATATACACACCGAATCAGTTCTGAACAATCGTATGTCAGTTGTCAACAAAAAAAAATGGAGCAACGCGCATATTTACGATCTCGATAAGCGACAAACGGTGCCTTATGCGCACAACTGCACAAGCTAAGCTTGTCCGTTGTAAGAAGAAAACAAATTTTAGGTTCCATGGGAAAAATAAAATTAAAGAACTATTTGCTTGCAGAGAGTAACCACTAACGGTAGACGTGAAACTCTTAAAAAAATGTAAAAGTGAGATAAAAATATATATTTAGTACTCTAAAATTTTATTAATTTTAAAGATGGTTGTGCAATGTGTGCATGATATGCAAAAATTATGACACGAGTATATTTGACCCTTGTTACCGTAAATGTGTAAAGTTCTCAAGGTCAAATCATTGAGCTTTTGTATTGAGTAAAATAGTAGGTAACCGGCATACTGGTTTACATATGCTCGATCAAAACAGTTTAATCTAATCAGCTTTGAACCTAGCTTGCTTGCTTGGCTTCAAGCCTGGAAAATACTTTTTTTTTTTTCCTGGTTATCCATCACTACAATAATGAGAGTCATGTACAGTTGGCGGCATTTAGATTCCATTGTTACAGTTTTGCATTTGGACGTTATACTATTGCTCCTAATCTTGTGTTATTCTGCAGCTGCACGTCGTCATACCTTTTGTATCACGGACTTGCATTTTCGGCTTGGCCCAGTGGCCCACCCATGATGTGTTTTTCTAACTATGCTTCCTCCTCAAACCCCACAATTTGAATTTTGAAGGTAATGTTTGGACCAACCATGAAATTGGTCATTGCTGTAAAGAAGACTTTTGAACCGAGTCATTCGATTTCAGGGACATGTAAATGGTAACAATAGAAAATTATAGTGTTTTTAGATAGTCATTGTTTATTATACACATCAATAGTTAGTGAGTAACAATAATGTGAGTAAAGGATCAAGAGGTGAGCTAGAAGATACCTGTGGCAAGACCAAAAAAATAGTTAGTGAGTAAAGGATTAATGTCAGATTAGTTTAAATGGTGCAGCTTATTTTTAAGCATATCTATCAACAGTTCTAACTTAATGTAGATGTAAAGTAAAAGCTCTTTCATGTAACTTAGCTAAGTTGATTTTAAATTACGGGAAAAACTCTAATTTACTTTAGTTATTTATAGAGAAACTTGTACAATCGGATCTATATTTTATTTTCCTAGAAATAAAATAGCCCTTTTTAGTTTCTTTTTAACTACTCAGACCTTCTGTTAAATTTATGCAATACACTTTTGTCCATATATACTTATCTTTAATGGCAACCATTCTAAAGTTTCCATCCGAACAAATACGCATTGTGAAAACATATCATTCAAAAATTGCAAACCTTAAAATCTCGTGCTTTTCTTTTCCCCGGAGAATCTTGTTAAAACTATCTCATCAAATAGGATTATTCAACTATGAGAAGGGCCCTCATAGTTTCTGAGAATTTTATGACCCATAATTTAAAATTGTATTGGATGGGGTGGCTGGTGTTGTTGGCATAACATAACAGTGAATGTGACGCAAATGATTCTTCTCTAAACAGAATCAGAATCTTGTTTAAATTGTTGTGACATCTCCCCTTGCTAGCTCTGACAAACCATCAAGAGATTATTGGGTGCCTCTTAGGTTAGCTGAGTAGCCCATATTACGTTATTATATATATTCTGATCTCATGAATTATCTTTCCGAAAGCAAGATTGCACAGTCCAAGTTTATATGTCCTCTAATCATTAGGGCCAGTTTAAATTATTCATTCATAAAGGTACATGCACTCATTTTACTATCTATCGCATTGGATCGCACACCGGATTTGGAACTTGCGTATTCGTCCAAACATCGAATTTGGAACACAACCATGTGGCTTCATCAGTCCACTACCACTAAAGAAAATCTTTGCTTGAATCAATGATGAGGGACCATGGATAAGGGTATGAGGGAAAAAAGTGATCAACAATGGTGTGTTATGTATTATCACCGACAAATAATAATGTTCTTAATTATGTAGTTAGAGATTCAAATCCAAGTTTATATAAACGAAAAATTATTTTTCTAAGAAATATCAATTTTTTAAGTAGATTTTAATATCTAAAAAATTAGTCTTTAATTGAGTTACAAGATATACTTGGTTAATAAAAAAATTAAACATTAAAATCACATTGATTAATTATTTCACCAAAATAACATATATAAATAAAGAATAATCTTATAAATCAGTTTTATAAAATTGAGTTAAACTCAATTTACTTTCTGAAAATGATATTAAAACTTCATTTAAAATAAGATAAATATATATATATATATATATATATATATA